ATTTATTCTCACATATATATATATATATATATATATATATATATATATATATATATATATATATATATTTCCGCTCTATTAAACAGAGTGTACATGCTTATAACATTTTTTTTTTAAGTTTTTCATTGCTCAATTATGTTGTTACATTTTTTTTTACTAATTATCACTTTTTTATTCTTTAAATGTTTATATGCAAAAAAAAATTGTATAAATACAAATTCTGAACTTTTGTAATACACAACTAGAGCTAGCACTATGTACGTGTTTGAAAGTTAGCAACACTTATTATAAATTCTTTAAAAAATTATTAAAAACCACATAGCTTAAGTAGTACCAATTACAATTTTTAAAAATCGTAGGTCAAGATATTTAAGTCATAAACTATACACATATACGTTTAACGTGGTTATGTCTCCTTACTCCCTGTCATTGTTTTTAATTATTAGTTTAAAGGTAATCTCTAGTTAATAGAGTACAGTAGCTCACTGCAAGTCTTTGGAGCAACTGCATAATGTTCATGCATGACAGGATGATAATTTCTACTTTGTCTGTCCTTCATATCGCATTATACAGTGTTCAATGAAGCAGGCATGAGCATGAATATAGTAGCATTCTTAGATATCCCACTTTTCAAAAGAACATTACTAACCTTTGTACTCAATTAACTTTTCGCATCTCTATCTTAATAACTAGGCCTAGTCTTGCCGGACCACTATCGTCCTACAACCGAAGACTTTTAAAGAGTCACTATTGCCCAACCCCACATGTACATGCTTTTCCTCGTTGAATCACTTCACTCAACATATTTACTGTTAAATCCCCAAATAATCATATAATCGCAATTTATTAACATATATCATGTATTTTTGAAATTACTATACATATCTTTATTAATACTCTTTTTTGTATCTTATTACATACTTATCATTTAAGTTAATTATAGTATTTCTTAAATCTTAAAAATAGTTACACAAATTATGACGACAAAATAACTTTTAATTTTGAAAAATTATTCATATTAAAATAGTTGGAATGTGATGTAAATTATTAATATTTTAAATTCATATTTGAAATTGGTGACCGCTTGTGCCAGCTAGTAACAAGCATGCACACTCCAAGTTTATTGCCTTGGGCTGTTTCCAAGACAGCGAGAAATGATACAATAGTGGACAAGAGAGGAATGAAGCGCGTTGCTTTTTTTAGGTCGTGTAAACGTTATGATTGGAGATTTTAATGAAACTGGAGTAAGCAATTATAGGATTTATGATCTTCACGGTAAGCATTTCCTCTCCCACGCTGCTCCATGAAAATTTTCAAGCATTGTAAAACTGAAAACAAAATCGAATACCGTAGTAGCTATGGCTAACCCCAATACATCCAAATAAAGAATGTATTCAGCCACGAAAAAGATCCAAATAAAGGGTGTAAAAATTTTGGAGCAGGAATAAAGCTGCATTGCAGGTAGGTGTTAGTAGGTTAATTTTGAAATAAAATATAAAAAAATTATGGGAAGTTGGCAAGTTGGAGGTGAAGTGTTAAGGGTGGCTTGTGATTATCATTCTGAATGATTACACTGGCGGCGCTCAGAAGTTGTTCCTCCGACTTTGGTTTAGGTTTGAGTCCAGTTTCCACTTATTTGCCTGTTGGGTGAGGTTGATTATGCAAGTGTCGATACATTTGCAGATTTTAATTATGTTGTGGGTGAAAAACCAAGAATTTAATTAAACATCACATGGACTTGTCTGATACACGGGGGGTTTAAAGAGGGTGATAGGATTAGGTCCCGTTGGTAGCTACGAAACTGACACAAAAGTTGTCACTTGTTGTACCATGCCACTCCGTAAATATGGAAAAAAAAAGGACAAACCCAACCCACAATCAGGACTTCATACTCATATTTTGCCTAAATTTGTTCAACATAACTTGCTAATATTTGCATTACAACTTACAACTCATTTGAGATGAGTCTTTTGCTTCAAACTAGTGCATTTATCCAATTCTTAGTTAATTGAGGATTACATAGCTATACCGGATGGTAACCGATCATGTCGGCCGACCATATCTAGCTCGGCCGATCCGGTCGACTCGGTAAAATCGTGGTCAATCAGCTCGGTCAGCAGGATCTGCATATCCGAGGACACGGAATTAAGTCAGGTGAATTAAAGAGAGGTTAATTTACTTAATACACTAGTTTAACCTCTAATTTCCCGGAGTCCAGTCCCTAATTACGGCTCAACAAAAATTACTATAAATAGACCCCGAACAAGGTACGTAACTAACTTGAACTACCGCATTTAATACGATGATCACTTACTTGAGTGTCGGAGTGTCTTTTGCAAGCATCTCCCCCTCCTCGGACTACCTAGAACGGAATGAGAAGACCTAGACCAAGGACCAAAATCGCGATAACTAGAATAAGCAAGGTGTGTCTCCTAACATAGGAACAAGAACTAATCTTCTTTCACATTATCTATGTGCTAATAAATCATTTGTTAAAAAGAGAGACCTCTCATGAGACTTCACCTTTTAAGTCGGTAAATTCAACGAGTATATGTAAATTTATTGATATTGAATTTGATTCCTATGGATTAAAAAAACAAAATTTTATTTTCTCTCTTTTTCTTTTGTTAAATTACCCAAATTTTATTACAGAAATATAATATCTTTTTTCTTTAACAATTTTAGCATATTATTTATTTAATAATATTTATATTATTTTTTTAATATATGCTTAAGATACAAGTTGATTTATGATTTTTAAAAAAAAAAATTATTATAGTGGATCTAGTAGTGAAAAATTAGGATAATATAAATAACATCTTAAAATTTCATCATTATAATTACACTATTTTTATATAGAAGATTTCATGTA